AGGGTCGACTATTGATAAGAAAATAAATATATATATATATATATATATATATATATATATATAATTAGAAGATAACCTTCATCTTAAAGTCCCACATCAACTAGAAATAAGGTAATTAAAAAGAATATATAAGTAGAAAGACAACTCTCATCTTACAAGTCCCACATCGACTAAAAAGTAAAAAATGTCACAAAAAGATATATACTTTTTTCGATCATTATAAGGGTTTTTACCAGCATTTTGAATAATTGCCGCTAAATGTTTTAGCGACACTGCATACAATGACTAATGTGAAAATGCCGGTAAAAGATTTTGTAACAATTTTTATTGTCACTAAAAATCATATTAAATGCCACTAAAAGTCTATTTTGTTGTAGTGTGAATGTGCTGCCGAACAGTAGAACTGTATATACATAGACTCTGATAAGTTGAAAAGCTAAAAATTGCCAATTTCTATTGTCAAATCATATGGGTGAAATCATGCACATTTTCAAAAGGTGTTATTAATCTTGTCAACATGGCAAGCCTCTTTTCATTTTGTTATTGTCTTAACCTTCAGATTATTTTTAATCTGTATTAACCATTTGATTGGGTCTATATTCTCATTTCATGTAATTAGTGTTAAAATTTTGTTGATATTTTCAAAATGTATAATAATGGCATAGACTGACGTAAATAGGAATAGTTGAAGTCCTGCATGCATGATGAATTATACCTTAAATGAAACTGAGTAGGTATCTGAAGTTACAGGGGATGATGTCATTTATACTATAAAGAATTCAGCAACATTGGCTGGGTCTCTGTTCACTTTGCATGCCTCTCAAGTTCATATTGACTTGCCTACTCTCACTGATAAAGACAAGGAGGTAATTTCTACTTTTTTTTACTTGCATGTTTTAGTGAGTTACCTATCATTAAACAAGTATAGTTTGCATGCGGCAAAATATTGTGTTCTTTAAAGTTTTAGGCTATTATTTTTTCCTTGCAGGTTATAAGCACCTCGGGAGTAAAAAAACAAAATTGATTTTCTATCATTGTCATATACTAGGCATGCTGAAGATGTTCGCCAGGTAATAGATTCCACATTCAATACTTTGGGTTGGTCTTTTGGAGTTCATAATTGGTCATTAATTTATTTTTCTATAGCTATTTCAGGTTTTCTATTAAAGGACTTTTCTAAATTTGAAATGCAGGCCCATGAATTCCTTTCTAAGTTGGGTGATCTAAGGGAAACTCAAATATTTGCAAAGATTGAAAATGTTGAGGTGTGACCTTCATTTTTTCATACTTAACCGGACAACTTAGTTTCTCTGTAAATTAGATTCCTATTAGCTATTCTGATTCAATTGCATATGTACATCTGTGTTGTTTTCTAAGGATTGACCCATTTTGATGAAATTCTACAAGAAGCAGATGGTATTATCCTTTCCCGTGGGAATTCGGGCATTGGCCTTCCCCTATAGAAGTTTAAATTCTTTGTTGCAATTAATCTTATTATAGATTAAAATGCTCTACTTTTAACATTTTGATAATGTATTTCATATTTTTAAATAGTATAACGATTTGTATTTATAATGAATTGAAATAAGTGGATATGCTTCAACATGCTTAAAGGAAGCCACAGATGTTGCCAATGTTGTTTTAGATGGTAAGTCACTGGTCATATGATGCCAATAGTTAGGTTGGTAACCACTAGGTTGTCCAATAAATATTTTTCTTTTAAAGTTTAGATTTAGGTACCTTAAAATTTTCATATTAGAATCAAAGCCATCACCAATTTTCTTTAATCCTTATAACTTATTATTTTTAGTAGATATTGGAGGTTCAACAGTCTAGAATATTGTACATTTACGAAGCTGGTAACTTAGCAACATTTAAATTACACTTGAGGACACCTCATCATTTTTTATTTGTTTTAGAAACCGGTATACACACACACACATATATATATATGAGGAGGGTTCAAACGACACCAGGTCACGGTTGTGAATCGTGCACGGAAAAAGACCCAAGATACAAAGCATTTCAAACATTAGATTTGGTAATATTGTCAATGGGGATTGATAACTTCAATTGCTAAACATTTAGGCTATACAGTGTATCATTAAGGACGATGCAGTGTATCACTGAGGACAATGGTAGCATGTTTTATTTCATTGTTAGTCAAACTGGAGTGAACCACTTACTACCAAATTGACACTATACAGTCAAGGATGAAACGAAATGGTGTTTCCCCTTGAAGTCATTGACGATGTACCCCAACAATAACAACCTGTTCTTGAGGAGGTATAACCTGAATTTTTGTGGTTTAGGGTTTCCCTTCAGCATTACCCAGATGGTTTCCTTTCTCAGTAATTTCTTTGAACTTTTTTAGTATATGTTATGTTCTGAATTTTTGTTTTCAGTTTCTGAACCATGTTTCTGTCTTTGAATTTATGATATGTTATGAACTTTTAATTTCAATTTTTGAATCATATTGCGGCATTTTGGTCAACGAAGTTGGCGTTCTGGAACGGGTCGTTCTGAATCCAGAATGACCCGTTATAAAACCAGAACGGCCTGTTCTGATTGTTTCATGTGTAGTAGATAAAAATAAATACCATATACTTGCAATCTCACAATTCACCTCCCAATTGACACAAAACAATGCATATAGGGAAGGAATGGAAGATTAATACATAACTCTTGCGAGGAAAATTTGTCTGAAAACGAGAATACATAACTCTTGCGTTCACTTTTTGGGTTTTGGATTCAGAAACTATTTCAAATTGAAACAAGCAGAGTGATGACCAAGCTAAAGTAAATTGACAAAAACATGAATGGAAATGAAATGAAACAGTTGAATGATAGGAAGCACTCTGCATATTTGAGAGAAGTAAAATTAACACAAGAAAAATGACCTGTCTCAACTCAGCCGCTTTGTGTTCGTCATGATCCATAACATATCTGAATCGATAAAAATAAGAACGAACATCACAAGCGGAATCATGTATACAAACAAGTAGCACCACCACAGCATAAAAAATAAAATAAAAAATAAAAAGCGGTTGCATTATTTCCATTGGTTTGCTTACCCAACCGCATTGAAGAGGCAACTGTTATCCAAAGGAATAACTCTTCTCAGCCAATGTCGTCAACGACGACGAAGTTGAGGAACCGGTTAAGCTTGAGGTCATAGAGAATCACTCATTTTTGAAGCTGAGGAAACGGAGGGTTTCACGAGATGGAAATTAGGTAAGGGAAATGAGATCGAAGGCAAAGAGTTTCACTTTTTTTTAGGTTAAAATCCTTATTTGGTCCTTATAATATTTTTTTGTTTTAATTTAGTTCCACTTTAATTTTTTGTTTCAATTTGATCTTTAATAATTTAAATTATTGCAATTTGGGACTTTCGTTCAAATTATTTAAACGGAGTTAACTGTTGGCCACGTGGATGTCAGGTAGATACCACGTAGATGTATAGGTGGATGTCAAATTTCATGAATACACCTGGAACCAGAATGACTCTTTCTGCTTGCACATGTTATGTGTTAATTTTGCAAATGGAACGGGTCGTTCCAAATGCAAATTTAACACACCATGAGTGCAGTAGAACGGGCTGTTCTGAAATCAGAACAGGCCGTTCTGGTTTTATAACGGGTCATTCTGGATTCAGAACGACCCGTTCCAGAACGCCAACTTATATGTTATGTTCTGAATTTTTGTTTTCAGTTTCTGAACCATGTTTCTGTCTTTGAATTTATGATATGTTATGAACTTTTAATTTCAATTTTTGAATCATATTGCGGCATTTTGGTCAACGAAGTTGGCGTTCTGGAACGGGTCTGGACATGTTTGACAGATATAATAATTTCTTTGCAGTTTTCAATACATTACTTGTAAGTAGTTAGATTTTTAATTTTTCTATCTTTTTTTTGTGGGTTTTCTATAGTATTGCTACTCTGGTTCTTCCTCAAGTGGGCTGATGACTAAAATTTGGTTTGTTGAGTGCTAAGGATAACATGTAAAAGGGAAAAAGTAGATTTAAAGGTATCCATTTTGTACTTGTGAAAATTGACTTTGAATTTAAATTATTTTACCTCCACATGTAGTGTTTGATTAATTCCAAATTCACTAATTGAATTCTATATGTTATTTGTTATCCCTGCCCGTACATAATTTCTCTCCTCCATATTTCTACTTCAGGAGGCAAAGGATCCCCTTGAGAAGGCAATGGTAGATGGTAGATAGTTGACCCTAAAAGTAAGTTGTGCACGTTGTTGTTTTATATATGTTTTCCTTGTCCTTTTCCCTTTTAGTATTTTTTTTAGTTTTCACTACTGCATAGTGTGTACTAATAAATGTGTCAATTCTTGGTAACATTTTAAAGTTCATTTCTATTTTCGTTTAGTCAGATTATCGCAAATTCTATTTATGGGTTTACAAGGGCTACCATTGATCAGTTACCATGTTTAGAGATATCATGAAGTATAACAAGCTATGGTATTACTTTTGCCGGTTTAAAAAATGCTAGAGGCAAGTAAAAATAATGCATTTTTTGGCGGTTTAAAACCGCCAGAAATGTAAAACAAATAAAACCAAAACACAACATTGCGATGGTTTAAAACCGCTAGAAACTTTGAATCAGACAAAATTAAAATGCATTTTGTGACTGTTTTAAACCATCACAAAGTGACTAAATTTTTGACGTCCAAAACCAGCGTTTATAAAATATTCATCACAAATCGTTTTTCACGATCGTGGATCTGACACTTAGTAATGACACTAGAAATACGATTTGTGGTGCTTTTTAACCGTCAGAAATTACAAAATAACCGCCACAAATCACGTAATTTTTTGTAGTCTCTCTCTATATATATAGATTAATATATATATATATATATTTTTTATTTTATTTTATTGATCTTTTTTAATATATGATTGTCAAATTTTGTCAAAAAATTCTTACATTTTTGACAAATAATTTTTTTTATTCTATCAGTAATATAACTTTTCCTACGAATTTTTTGACAAATTTGTATCTGTAAGAAATTATCAGATATATTCGTCGAAAATATAAATTTTTTGACAGATTTGTATCTGTAAAAAATTATCGATGGATATATCCGTGAGAAATATAAATTTTCTGATAGATTTATATCCGTCGGTAATTTTTTTTTGTCTATAAAATTCGTCGAAAATATAAATTTTCCGACAGATTTATATCCGTAAAAAATTATCTGTCGGTAATTTACATTTATCTTATAGTGCCAGTTCATCTGAAGAATAAATAAACGGAGTAATAGAAGTCAAATTATAACATGAATGTACTTAACTAAAACTAAAAGAGATAACATAATTCCTAACTACTCTCAAGCCCTAGTGTCACATTGGCATCAAAGTTTTCACAGGCGCCTAGATCTCTCCTTGCTCTTCCAAATACTGAGGATTCTCATATGCAAAACATACAAAAACACACCAATAAGCAAGCAGGGAGTGAGAATAATCTCATCCTATAAGGAATGGGTTGCAACCCTCGACATCCAATCCTTTCACGATAACAAATATGATAACAATAATTAGTACATCAACTTCAATTGTAAACACCCTCAATTAAACTCACAAACACATACATTAATGCAATGTAGTGTGTACCTACATCTAAATGCATGGGGTACCTGACCATCATCATCAAGTATATATAGTTGGTACCTAAGTTTTGAGTTAACCTTAGGCTACCAACACAGAAGTGTTCCCACCAAAACACCAACAGGTTCCCACCAAAACCATAGAAACAGGTTCCCACCAGAACCACAGAAACAAGTTCCCACTAGAACCACAGAATCCTGCAAGTATGATGTATGTCACGACCATGCAAATGCTTCTATATATATTAATACATCATGATCATCATATAATTCATCCACATCAAATTTCATTCATCAAGATAATAATCATCATTCACAAGATATATAAATATATACATACATATACATATATATATATATATATATATACATTCATAATCACATACTTAATCATCAACATCATTTAAAACATCATAAAAGAGCCTTCTAACAATCTACGTTGGGCTTGGAAACCTACACCCGACTCTAAATTGAGATAGAAAACACTCTAGTCATCTTACGCCCAACTTCACCAAGCCATGCCCAACTTCACAAAGACACCCAACTTTAAGCCAAGATAGAGAGCACCCAGGCCTTTTCACGCTTGACTTCACAAAGCCACGCCCGACTTTAAGTCAAGACAGAGAACACCCGAAACATCTCGTGCCCAACATGGACATTTCCCTGCCTAGCTCCAAGCACTTGAGCCCGGTGCTGTGTGCGATCCAACACCCAAACACACCATCGAAATAATAATCTCAAACAAACATCACAATCGATAAATGATCATGAAAAATTCCAAACAACCACAACTCGTTTTAGTCTAAAAAATTCGCCATTTGAGGTGAATTCATCCAATTAAATGTCTACGACTCTTACCCCTAAAATTCATAAATTCTTTTTTCTTAGGGTTCTAACCTGTTTCCACAGGGCACTAAATTAATTACTTCAAAAGCATCATATCATCAAATAAAATTCATATTAGGAATCTACTCGATAAACAACATCAAACGCACACAAGATTACATTAAACATAACACTAATGGGATTGTGGTCAATCCCTCTACCCTTCATGCATACACCTAATTCCCAAAGATGAGTGTTCTCACTCTCCCTTACCTGGAGTGATGCAACGTATCAAATCTAAGCCTCTGCCTCTTCTCCGATGATCCCTTCTCCTTGCTCTCCAAATGCGTTCTCTTTAGAGCACAAGAGTGTTAAAGAACGTGAAGGTAAAAATATATCAGCCCTTCTTCGCCTCTCTATATAACTCGCTATTTCTCTAAACCCCTCTATTTTTAATTATTTCTAATTCTCCTCTTCATGATTAAATCTATTAAAATAAATAAAATAAAAATTGTTAATCATAAAATAAAATAAAGTCATCATTATCTTCCTAATTAATTAATTAATAATAATAATAATAATTCCAGGGTGTTACAAAGAGATTCTTTACTTCTTCTGATTTCGATAGAACCTTCTAGATCCTTCCCTTAGCAGAGTAGCAGTAGTAGATTGGAGATTCAAGACTTGGAGGTTGAGACTCTCAAGTGGAGAGTGTGTACAAAGACTCCGAGAACTTCACCCTCTCTTCCTTTTTTCTTGCTTTCTGAGGGATTCAAAGTATGGGAAGTTTGTTGATTGAATATGGTTGAATGTTGATTGTTGATTTCTATATGGATTCCCCACTTTTGTGGTAAAGATTGGTTGGAATTCATGAGATGAGAATATTCATTTTAAGTGTTGTTTTGAAGGTTTCTTTTGAAAAATAATTGATGATCTTTGAATTATGATGGTTGCATGTGGTATGTTTTGTTGGAAATGAGTTGTGTATGTTGTCTATTTTTTAAAAATTGGACTTCATGTTGGTTTTGTTGAGAAATTTGTAGGTTTAGAGCCAAATCTCATGTTTGCCAAGGGTGAAAATCTTCATAGCTAGATGCAGCTTCATGACATCAAGCATGATTCAAGTAAAGGGTTTTCTGCCTTGATAACGCTAGGATCAAGATTGGTAGCAGTGTGAGTGGGACAATGAGGAGCTCTCTAACTTAGTTATGTTGAGCGTGGAATGAGGGGTGTTGGGCATGATTACCTAAGGAGCTCTCTAACTTGGTGACACTAGTCATAGAATTGGGGACGTTGAGTGTGAGCAAGTCTGAGGCTCTCTACCTTGATGACATTGGGCGTGGGTCAAACAAAGGATCTCTAGCTGGATGAGGTTGGATGTAGGTTGATGGAGGAGCATCCATAGAGAGCTCACACATGAAGACCATTGGACCTTTAGTTAGGTCTATGGTTAGGAGGTTAGATAAGGCTTTTATAGAGGATGTACTTCTAAGACCTATGCTTTATATGAGCAATGAGTATGATTCCTCTTATTAGCTTCTTAGTCTCTATTATACATCCCTTGCATAGTACCTTGTATATAGAAGATACTTGTATAGGCTTGTTTTTCCTTTGTATTTGTAAGACACCTTTATCTTTCTTTGCAATTCATACGCTTAGGATTTCAGGATATGTTACTTAGAGACTTTTACTCCATTTGACCTTGTATTAAGGGTCATAGATTTTTATACTTTTAGTATTAGTAGTGGTGTAAAAAATAGTAAGTGTGTGGTGAAGCTAGTAATGGGCCTTTGGTGGGCCTAGGCCAAATTTTACATATTAGGCCTGTTTTTTCTCCATATAATCCAAGGAATTGATTTAGATAGGTCTCACCATCATTCAGTGAACCTAACTAAACCAATTCCAAGATTTTGGATTAGATTAGGTGAAGGAAAACAAGTCTGGCTGCCATTCTCATCCTTGGCCAAAATTAGTTGTATAGGTTCTCCAACACATTTTTTTCTTGGTTAGCCAAGGAGACAAGGTGACACTTGGCACTCCATGATTGGCTCTTCTAGATCTAAGTGTCCCCTCCTTGTCTCCTAGGAGACAAGGTGACACTTGTCACTATATGATTGACTAATCTAGATCTAAGTATTCCTACCTTGTCTCTATCTTGTCTAACTTGCACTACAATCTACTCCACAACTATATATAGGATTTCTCACTTATAAAAACCCATTTTGATCATATATGAGCTTTGGCTGAGTTTTCTATTTAGCATTCTCTCTCTCAAAAGTCATAAATTCTCTTTGATTTGCTTCCAATTCTCTTATCCTCTTCTTAAGAATGTGGTGAGGATTGAAGTGATTTATCTTTTACCTAGAAGTGGCACCACTTGAAGAGACTTCTTCATCTTCCAAGGTGAAACCAAAGGTCTCTACCTCCATTATAGACCTTGAAAAAGCTTGAGGAGTGTCAAGAAGAAAAAGATCTAGGGAGGAACTTGAAGAAAAAGGCATATCAATCCGGTTGCTCCATTAGGTTTCCATCATAGGTTTACATACACCAAGCATTATTGACACATAAGCTCTCTATCTCTTTTACATTAGGTGCAAATTGATTGGTGCCGAGCGTGGGTGAGCCATAGGCTCTCTGCCTCATTTACACCAGGCATAGGTATATTGGTGTCAAGCGTGGGTATGCTATAAGAAAACTCTTTGTTTAATTTCCAGTGTTGAAGTATGATGATTTACTTACATGTAAAATGTTGATACATGATTCTAGTTTATTATATGTTGATCTATGATGATATATAATGATGTTTTAAGTTGTTTAAGTT